GTTTTATTAAATAATTTAAGTTGTAAATTTGTTTTAAGTAAACATTTGTCGTTAAAAATCGATTAAAAATCAAAATAAATATCTAAAATTCTTCAAGAAAGGGGAGTCGGCTTTATTTCAACTTTGTAATTCGGGAGATACTTCGCTTAACCCCATTCCAACGGGGGGAAACAAAGTGCTGCCGAAATTTCTTGGCAATTTGCTGAATTTTATTGGATTAAATCTTGAATAATTAAAAAAAATACTTTAAAATTAGTTAAAGATTGAGATACTTTTTCAGTTCTTAATCTTCCTTGTTAAACATCTTCCGTTGGTATTTTGAGGTCTTCGGCCAAACCCTATCCCAACGGGGGGGAGCCAAAGTGCTGCCGAAACTTCGCAAAATTTCCTAATTTAAATTATTAATTCTTTTTTTGAGAGCGATTAGGAAAATTAATTATAAATAGGTTAGAAATTTGTTTCTTTCAGCGACTTTCCTCTTGTTTCATTAGGCTTTAGCTCTGGGTAGGTAGCATTTGTCTAGGGACAATAGTCCCGAACCCCATCCCAACGGGGGGAGGCGAAACACTGCCGAAATTTTAATAAATTCCCCAAATTTTAATTCTACCCCTAAAAAGCATCAAACTCGGCGGGCTTATATAACTATTGATCCATAATATATATAAACTAAGAAGGAGATTTTATCTTAACAGAATACATTTTCTTTAGTTTATAATTGAAAAATACAAAAGAATTCCCTAGAAGAAAAAGGGAAAGAGACGTTGCAGTAACCTGGTTTCAGGTGAACCTAGTAGCTTGTTCTCGAAGGCGTGAGGCAAGCGACGCGAAATTCCAGTTATTAATCTACACCTTCTGCTTGCTGCGTTCTCTCTAGCCGCCAGTTGAATGTGGCCGCGGGTGCAAGTAGAGGTCTATGGGGCTACCATTGACTGGGACTTAGAGCCCCGTGAACTCATAGAGGGGGATCTGGTCGAGCTCACGATCCCCGGACGCAGCATTCGACACGCTGACGGCCAGTTTGCGTGGAGGTCCATAATCCTGTCCGAGGACGTGTGGCTTTGGACGTACAGAGAGCACCGGCCGGGGCAAGGAGTGGGCGTAGTGAGAGCCTACTTGTATTAGGGATCGGGTGCGGTCTGAGGGGCCGTGGTGGGCCTCACGACGACAGGGACTAGTGACGCAGTTAGCAGGGCGTTACGCTACCTAGGGGAAGAGGTAGCTGCTTTCCGGGCGGAGGACGAGAGCGACCCGTTGACCCTATTTCACGGACGCCCTCCTCTTGATATCACGGGCGAGCTGGTGGTAGCACGGGACGGGTTTTTCCCGTACAGCGTTAGGAGCCTGCGGGCGATAGCTCCGACGATCGTAGTAGAGAGCATCTTTGGAGGTATTGGTGGAGTGGTCGAGACATACCTAGCCTATCAGGATCTCAAGATCCTGGCGAGAAGGCCTGACGACCTAGACTACATCTATTATTCGCTTGCGACCGGTGGGCCTCGTTGGGGAGACGAGAGGGTTCAGCTTATAGAGCTGATCCGCTCGATAGACGACGAGTGGCCCCAGTCTTCGTGCGTTTGGGATTGGCTAGACCGTGAGCTTCGAGCAGGTCCCGAGTACGTGACTTGCATCGGGCGGCTCTTCTCAGACGACTGGGGGAGCTGGTGGAGTGAGGACGCCGGGCGACCTCTGATATACGGCCATCAGTTGACGGAATACTACCAGGCCATAGGACAGGCGCCATACC